ATAAATGAAAATCTAAGCATAATAGATAGCAATTGGTACGAAGTACAAACACACTAGCAGGGGGCCTCCATTTTAAAATGCAACTTGACAAACGTATATAGCTATCTCTCGTAATGGAATCAGTTGCATAGGCTAGCTAGGGTTATTGAATATTATGCATCATTTAAAGGAAATGGCTTTACTGAGTTAGGGGAATGGTGGGGATGGAATAAAATATTTGACGAATGCTTTATACATGAAATCTAATGTCTACCATAAGGTAGGTCATTGACCTCGACTTCAGTTTTTACCTTAAATATTAGTATTTTTTGTGTGAGGATTAAATATTAGTTTTTTATTTCCACAAATACATGTCCATAATCCATTTGTAATTTGGGTTCATCATATCATGTTCACTTATATAGCTAGTAGGGGGAATTCTACATATATCAACCTATCCTCCCCAAACTATATATTATTATACAAAATACATGGTGTACTTCTAAAGACAGCTATTTCTTTGTTTCATTAAAGGAGCGTTTGGTTTAGGAATTTTTTTTGAAATAGTAGGGAAATGAGATAGATAGAGAAATGATTGAAAAGATAGATAAAGTGATATAGGTAGAAAAATGTATAAAAAAGTTGTTTGGTGGAAAAAAACTTTACTGAAAAAATTAGGTAACTTTATGAAATCAACAGTGTATTGAAAGTCAGATAACCGATTTTCCGAAAAATCTCATCTTCAAATTGGGTTTCTAAACAGTGAGGATATCTATGTTTCTCATAAATCCAGACAAATTGGATAGATGAGTTTTTGGTGAAAAACGTTAAAACAAACATGATGTTTCTAAAAACCATACTTAAGAAAGATAAATATCCGCTGAAAAGCTCACAAACAAACACCACCTAACACAAAGAAATACCCAATTCCTCAGCAATGGGTTCCGATGCTTACAACATTGAATGGCGTTAACGTTGGAAACGTGATGGAACCTTAATTCAAATTCAGTTCACATCACTGCTGCCACTGCACTGTGTGCCACGTGATGACAGTAATCCAGCTAGCAGGCTGCTTCATCTACGTGGCATGACTGTTTTTTTATTAAAATAATTTTTTAACTTTAATTTTTTATATACTTTTCATAACATATGAAATATTTTTAATTTATAAATCATACAAAGCAATTTTCTACTAACTGACTTTTCATTATTATTATCTTACTAAGAATAAAGAATTTCCTCAGTCAATAAAAATAAATTTTTCTTAAAACAATATTGTTTTGGATGAAAATTAAAATATTTTTGTAATTCTAATATATTGCAGGATTATATCAGTCTTTATTATTTTAATTTTTTAATCTTATAACCCAAAATAATATCATTTTGATTTCATTGGAGATAGTTTTATCTCCAGTGAGCGGAGAAATACTTTTTTCTTTTATTAAAGATTTTTTATTTAAATTTAAAATTTCATATTAAAAAGTCAGTTTAAAACAATCAAATTATTAACATATTTATAAAATATAAAATTAAGATATTAAAAAATTAACGTCATTGTTATTTAAAAAATAAAGTATCAAAAAATGAATTTGAGAAATATTATTTTCCCAATGCCAAAAACAAAAGAATATCTCGAGAATAATAAAATAATATTCCACGTGACTGGAAATTCGGGAGTAGAGGAAAAAGACAAAACAGAATTCTATTTATTTCTTTCTTTCCGAGTAAAAGATAGAACGATAGATAGCACGTGAAGAACAACATTTTTAGTTCTGCCTCAGGGCTAGTGGCCGCCAACGATTGATTTGTCAATTTGTTTTGTTTTGTTTCATTCAGGAAATGCAAAAACATCACACGTAAAAGACTTTTATAATATATATTCAAGATGGCCTTAAAGCGAAGGGGTTGCGGTCAAGGAGGTCGAGAAATTCTTATCTATGAAACTGTTTATTATAAGATTTAAAATCAATAGTTAAAACCCACGCCATTATGGGTATGGCCAAGGTTTTGGTCCAGTTCAAATTTTGCTCATTAATGTGAGAATTTTTTGGTGGATAATTTTTAATGAGGTTGGAAAATCTTTATTGATCCTAGTAGGATACTGATATTTAATTTTATTTAAACTTTTTTACACCAAAAATAAAAATAAAATAGTTAATGGAAAAGTATTTGTTATTATAAATAACATAACATTGTGTTATTTTTAACGAGACTACGTCGTTTTAGTGTATTTTTACATTCTTTTTCCTTCACTTTCTTTTTCTTTCTAATTTTATAAAAAAGAGAAAATATAATAAGAGAGAAAAAAAGTATCTAATATTATTTTAGATAACTTTGTCTAATGTTCATTGAAACGACGTCGTTTTGAGTTTGAAAAATAAAAAAATTAGAATGATAAAGACATCTATAACTCTGAAATAAATTAAAATTACAAAAATATCATGATTTCTGCCCCAAAACGACATCGTTTTGGTGAACATTAGTTAAAGTTATCTAAAGTAACTTCAAAAAAAATAAACCCATAAGAAAAATACCAAAAACACACTTAACGTAGTTTCATTAGAAATGACATAAAGTTGTGTAATTTAAAATAACAAATATTTGTTTAACCAAAAAAAAAATGACAAATATTTTTCCAAATTTTGTTATTGGGTGAAATCAATGTATCTGTGAGTGGCATTCGGGAAATTGAGAAATTCGTTTAAATCATGTGTCGCGCCAGATGAGTTTATATGCAGAGTGATGACTAATGCTTCATTTGCTTGTGGAAACAATTAACATTGGTTTCCTAGTCGTCCTTACGGACTTATTCCTTTCCTCTCTTTTATTATTATTTATTATTATCTCACGTTTCAGGGATGTTAGCAGTTAGTGTGTATTCTTTTTCTTTTTGGGCGTTAGCCCCTTCAATTACTTAAAAAAAATAACAAGAAGCAACGGAGGTCACGGTGGTAATCTTAGGCAAGCTAAAAATCAAGGGATAGATATAAGGCACGACGCACGACTATGGCAACGAGGAGAGATATTAAGCGAGTAACAATAGAAAAGAAGATGGTCCCTCAATGGAAGAGTGTTGCATTTATAAGGCGAGGAAAGTTTCCCATACACGTGCAAAAGTTTTGCATGCGTAGAAGTGAGATGAAAAGGAATCTTTCATCCTGGTCTTGTTAGGTGTCCAATACAGAGGCCCAACCGGCCTATGCAAGACAAACATACTAATTCATGAAAACAGAGAACGTCATACCCATTTTTTTAAATTATTTTAATATATATATATATATATATATAATTATGTACGTCATATTAAAAATATATATCTCTAAATAATTTTTTTATATTGAACATATCACATTAGAAATATAATTACTTTTAGCCAAAATAATTTACTTATATTTATATATGTGTGTAGAGGTGTGTGTATGCATGAAAGAGAAATTAATCTTTTTAGAATCACATGAGATAAAGTTATCTACTGCAATCTCAAAATGATATCATTTTAGGGTTTAGGATAAAAATAAAAAATATTTTAGTAAAATTTATGATATAAGAGAGAAAAGTAAATTTTTTAAAATACTCTTTATTTTTAATCCTATACCCCAAAGCAACGTCATTTTAAAATTGTAGAAGCTAAATTTATCTCATGTTATATGAGAGACATTTTTTCCATATATCATGCTTGTATGAATTCACATCTAAATCTTACATTTAGTGTTAATTATTGATCTACTTGTATCTAATGAATTTAATAGATCGGAGACTACTAGGATATAATGGAGGGACGTACAATTTAACTTTACACGTCTTTCTGATTTTGGCATGTATCTAGTTTTATTATCGCTACAAGCTAATTTTTTCATGTACCCAATTTTTTTTACATTTTGTGCTTAATGGTCAAGGATTAGCATTAAGTCGAAGTTTACGTTTGAAGAGGATACTAGTAAAAATTAGCAAAACGTCATTCACCAAAAAATAAATAAAAAAAATAGCAAAACGTCACAATTTGGCTTCTTTTCTTGTAATGGTCCACCATAATGCGGTGCTAAACGCTAACACGCACATCACAGGGACTTCTTCGCCTTTTCTCTCTCTCGAATTTGATCACGTGACTGAAAGTGAAGGGTTTACGGTGATCGCTTGGTCACCATTGCCAAATTTGCAAAATGTTGAAATCATCTTACTGCCAAATCAATTAAGATCACAAATTTGTATAGAGAAAGGGAAGATTACAAATTATATATTTATCTTTTTAAATTTAATTTTGTTTTATAATTTATGTACATGTCTCATGCATTTTATTTTTTTCTAAATATTTAAACGACATAGTAAAAAAAGTGTCATTAACACAAATTCTTAAGTTTAAGAAGTTTATTGCTTCTATTAAGAGCAAAGTAATTAGACTATCAAGATACAGATGGTTTTAAATTTTCTTTTGTCAAAATTAATTCAAGCAACTTGAAGGGGATGATTGTTGCAATATAAAATAAATGAGAAAACCAACTGAAATGTAATTTCTTTTACTAGAACTGGACATGTGTTTGTCTAAAGTCATACCCATATTTGGCAGCTATGTGGAGTTCACGTCTAGCTATACATTTTTTCTTTTTTTCTTTTTGGACTCTACCAGCATTCGAACAACGACCATTATGGTGTTGTCCTCCAACAAGCAACAACTACCATATTGACCATGAATGCTAGTTCTAGCTAAACATTTTGGTTAGTCAGTACAACAAAATGATTATTTTTTTTAACATTAAAATGCAATTGAAACTACATAAGAATATAAGATTCCCATAATTAAAAAAAAAAAGAAAAAAAAAAGTATGTCCTCATTATGGAGGCACCATACGATGTCGTGCAAGATCCACACGCAATACAAGTCATAATAAATAAACTTCGATATGATTCCATGATGTTATTTTTAATTCAATGATTGCGCTGGCTACCTGAGAAATTTCTGACATAATCTGAAGAAACGGAAACTCTCAAGAATGAGAAATAAGAAAACACATTACATAGACGTATCTCTATTTTCCTTTCCTTAAGTAAGCAGTTGTTTTCCTTTGCAATCAAGAAAACCTCATACTTTATATTTTTAAGACATAAAATTTTAACAATTTCATAAATATAATGCAAATTATTTTAAAACGAAATGCATTGAATTTATCATAAATCAGCCAGACTGCCAATTATGGCATCTATGTCCGGGGTTAAAGTGGCATGCTTGCTGATCTCCCCAATTGAGGAACAATGCTTTTGTGCAGTATTGATAGCAACCAAGTCTTCAGCAAACGAACAATTCAAACCCGAGGAAACCTGCAACCATTTTAAAAATATTGGTATAAGGCCTTCCGTAGTATTGAGTATTTTAAAAATAAGAAATGATAAAATAGCGCTCGGATCTGCATCCTGTTTATCATGTAAATACAGTACTCACATCATAAAGGGTATCACCAAGTTTCAGCTTGATTGCACCACTCCTGTATACAAGCATTTTACCCATGAAGCCAGATGGTAATTCGTTCAACTTACAGGGTTTCTCCACATCTTTTGAACCTCTTGGAGGTTTAGAGTTCTCATTAACATCTTGGCGACCAGCAGTAGCTGATTGTTTAATCATAGGCAAAGTTGGTGGTAAATGAATCAAAAACATTTTTGCCTCTGGGTTGTCCTCCTACCAACAATTTGCTCAAAACGTTATTATAATAATTAAAAAAAGCTGAACTTAATAGATTTGATTTCATAAATTTCAGTTTACCTACCAAAAGGCCAAGCTCCATTGCTGGCTTTGATGAATTTTCATCATAAGTTCTGGATTCTTCAGCCTCCCCAAATTCCTCCTCATCAAGATATTCTACCACAATAATATGTGGAGTTAATACGACTTAATATTACATAATGCAAAGAGTGTTTTATTTTCAACGTAGCAATGAAATAAGTTCTTGACTCCAAAGAAAGAAAAAAAATTCAAGTGAACAGTGGAAACTATGTCAATGTAACTAAAACCTCATAATTTTGTAAATGGGCAGAACAAGTTTTGTTACTAAATTGACTAGTTCAGATCACTCAATTTCCATGATACTGAAATTCCATACTTCACTATTTTTGTTTTCTTCTCTTTTCTTTTTTCCAAAGATGCTTCTGGGAATATACCTGGGTTTCCTGAATATGGCTTCCTCAGGGGAAGAGTTACAGGATAATAACTGTAATAGTCCTGTAGCAACATCCAACAACAAATACTTCAGAATAAAACAAGCACGAACGATTACACCACACAGGAAACGGATAAAAACAATAAATCAATAAGAAAGCATATTTATTTCATTCAGTATACTTACCCATGGTTCTTTGTATTCTTTCTCTCTCGCACCTGTGGTTATTAAAGCATTACAAAAATGTTGTTAAGAGAAGGAAAAACCATGCAGCAAAGAGCAAAACATCTTAATAGCATTCTGTTAGATGAAAATGCCTAGATAGTTGCAATACCGTTGAATGCTGAATTCTGACTTCCGTTGGTATTGCTCCCACCCCTGGGAATCCCATATGATTTGATAGAAGTTGATTCACCTCCATAACCAAAAGCAATTTGTGACGCTGATACTGCAAACAATAAATATGAACAATGCAATTTTAGAAAACAGAAAGAATGGTGCTAATTCTGCTTTAGTGAAAAGGGCATCATGTCAGGCATCATTCTGATATCTCTATATATGATAGACGGATAAGATGATAAATATCCGAATTGCCCAACTTCAATTTTACTTATAATCAACAAAGTGTGAGGAACTTGTATAGGCATTAATAGGAATCGCACAAACATTTGAGAGAGTAAATGGTAAATCTCTGCAGGTTAAGAATCACGTGTTCACTGAAAATGAAAATGCAGAAACTAATCCCATAAAAAAGGGATTATTTTGATTCTCTTATGAGTTTTGCAATATGAGACATAATCTTAGTAAATATTCACTTAGTGCTCTTCTCTATTCAACTAACACAATCAGATACGAAGATAATGTAGTAAAAAAATTGACTTTACTCCATGGAGAAATTGCTCTGTTCGTGACTTCAGGTATAAAATTGGTCTCTCTAGAGACGCTTATTTAATAGTAAATCCAAGTTTTTTACTTTAATGACTGAAACATTCATGGGAACCTTCACTTATTGAGGATTTATTAGAAAAGTAGGATCTGTTTTCCTGATGAAGTTACCAAGAACAAAAAGATCAAACACCGCTTGAGATGATCAAAACAGAAAATCAATGCTTCAGATATAAATAAAAGTCAAACAAAATTGGATCAAAGAATATCAATACCAAAAGGTGTAAAATATTAAACCTTTTTTCTCAACCTTGGGCTTTGCATTCATCGCACTCTCCTACAAAAATATTAATAATAATAATAAAATTTCAACAAGAAAATACTAAAGTGAAAGTCAGTGTAAAAGTTGAATAAGGGCTGTCAATCAAATTGAAATCATATGTACATTGAAACGCCGCAGGAGATCCCTAGCGTTGACTGCATCTGCATCCTCAACAACTTCACTGCAGAAACAGAACAGTAAGAAGCAGGACAAATTAGAGGAACATCAAATTAAGCTGTTACGCAAACTACTGTTAAACCAAAATGATACACACGTTTTAACTTCTAGCTTTGGCACTCGACGAGGTGGAGCTCTTGGCACAAATTTTACCTGCAATGTCTCAGATTATTCGCCAAAAGAACAACGTCAACAGAGGAATAAATAATTTAACTTCACGTTTAAAAAATGAAATGAAATAGTAGTAGTATTAATAATAAGTAACAAATGTATTGAACAATATCAAATCAAACCTTTCTTCGAGGGCCAGCGGTGTTCTTGGAAGTCTCTGAATCCATAAGAGTCTAATGTTGATCTCAAACTAAGAATGAAAACAAATTCTAAATAAGACACTTTAAACCTTAAAAACACAGAGAACAATCACAAGTGAGGCGTGCGAAGAAAACAAAACGTTGCTGATTATTGGATCGAAACATAACGAAAAAACAATGTATGAATATTAGTTATTGGAAACAGAGTATGTTACGTTGTTTGAACAATTCCGGATAAAAAGTGAATCATCTGATAATAAGAATTTGCAAGATACGAAGTGAAATAGACGCAAACATATATGACAGAAACATGGGATGGGACTTTACTTGTTTGATCGGAGAGACCTCAAACAAAGGTTTGTTTGAGCGGCAGTCATTCGCCCCACTACTAAAGTCTAAAACCTAAGGCTACTTTTAGCAACGGAAACGGCTTTTCTCTTATTTTATTTTGTGATTTTTAGAAATGGAAAAAAAAATTTACTTTTTTTTTTTTTTTTGGAGTTACCAACCCTAATTATCTCTTCGAGACGAGTTGGCTCCCTCCGGTATCCCCACGAGCTTCGACTCTTTGAGCCGGTTATGAGACTAATCCGGAGTGCGGGAGAACAGTGATGGCTAAAGGTTCAGCCCCTCCCATCAATTTCTTTTAAAACATATCCTAACCTAATTTTCATATCTCACAATTAATTTTAAGTACGCAGCTATCATCTAAAATATCACAAGAAAATATCTCATAGATTTATTAAATCCTAATAATTCTATTCATTTCAATTTCCCCTCATCAAATAAAATAATATTTTTGAACTATAAATACTTTTTGCTATCAAGTTGTATAGAAAATTAATTTCGCACATCACTCATTCTTTTTTAAGTTCACACATCATATAAGAGAGAAGTAAAGAGGATACCAATTGCATTTAGATTAACTTTGATTTTATTCTTAATTGATTACATATGACAAATAACAAATCATTTCATTTTATAATCGCCAAACTGTAGAATAAAAATAATTATTCTGCTTTAATAAGGTGGACATGCATTCATGCATATCTAAAATTAAAGATGGTGTATATTTAGTTTTAACAATATCTTAAAATATTTTAAATGAGTGAAAATCTTAGCTAACTATTTCTTTCTTTTTTTGTTTTATTCGTGATTAAGACTTTGGCAAGATGTTAGTTTTTATTTTCTTATTCGAGAAATTATATTTTACTTTATTTTTTATTATAAAGAATCATTCGATTCTGAGGCAACTTATTGATGAGAATACATTCTATGTATAAATCATTGTTTAGGCTGGCGTATTTCTTAATTTCGCATCGAAGCAAATCTTCCCTTAGTCTAAACTTTTAGGTATAAAATAAAAAAATAAAAAATAAAATAAAACATACAGATTTAGAAACTTTCTTAACTTTTACAACGTCTTATAGTCAATACTTTATCATTTCATAGAAAATAATTTCCCTTCATCACTACTTTTAATGTCATTGTGTTATTTTGTACACCATATATAGCTCTGCCTTCCCCTAAAGGCAAATATATTATCTCAAAAAGGGTTTAAAAAAAGGGTAAGTTATAGTATTACCTCATAATTTTACCACACTTGTTATCACCGTTTAATCGTTAGATCAGTTCTAAATTAATGGCTCTCAAACACAATAAAATTAAAACAAAAAAAGTTATACTCTGAAGTCTGATCCCACATGACATGTGATACTTTGGTTGGATTTACTCGGTAAATTTTGGAATCTTCCCAATTTCCAATTCAATTTTCCAGAACCCTAATATTGATAATGGCAATCAAAATTCTGAAATTGATACACTCGCCCTCAACGTAATTAATATCATGGCCAAGTCTCGAGTAGGTGAATCTCAACAATTCCAATAACGTCATAATATCGTGACCATTCTTCTCTTCCATTTCACACTGGAAGCTTATCGTGAAATTGAAAAGAGAGAATGTACGTGGCATGGATGATCAAGAGAAAGAAGTAATGATGTGGAACCCAAAATGTAATTTTATTTTATTATATTTGAGAGCTATTAATTTGGATTTAATATAACGGTTAAAAAGTGATAGTAAATAAGCTATAGAGATAAGAAGTACAACCAGCTCCTAAAAAATCCTTAAAATAAATTTATCCAACCACACGTAATATTACAATTTGTGTGGCCTTTGTGAGACCAATATACCAAACGTCTTTAACTTTAACTACTCGCCCCTTTTGTAAACTAATACAAGATGTTGCATGCAGGAAAGTTTTTTTAAGTACAGATAATATTTATCATTAGATATAAAATAAGGATCAAGATCCTCAAAATGCAAAATTCAGAAATAAATAAAACTGAAGGAGACAGAAAGAGACAACAAAAATCAATTTCACAATCACAATTACCATGTTTTCACATTCTTGGAGTTCAGTAACTAGAGAAGCAGAACATCCATGTTGCCTTTGATATCTGGAAAACAATACGAGCATCACCAAAGTCCCCCACCCCACCCCCTGAAGGGACCCAAATTCCCCTTATAAGTTGATATATTTCGGCTTCAAACAGCTAAATACAATCAAGGTAAGACACCTGCAATGACACAAGTTATTGAACCGAGAAAGTTGGCTGTTCAGTGTTCACATCAATGGAAAGGTGCAGTCTTACAAGTAACAGATGAAAACCAAAAACCTTCAATTGTCCTAACTCCTTAACTGCACTGATGCAATTAGTTGGGCTAACGCAGCAGCATACTGAACAGCTGTATGTTGAGAAGTATAATTGTCAGATAGCCCATACTCTGCATAATTTGGATCCGCATGCATGAAATGACCCGGTAATGATTTTTTAGACACCACTTCTCGCCACATATCAATGAACTCTTCCATAATTTGCCTAGATTTTTCAACGGAAGAAATAGGGAGATACTCAATCTGCAGAAAACTTACAAACTTGAATACATACTTACAGAAGCAGTGTTATTCTAAAACTCAACAACTATGAAGACGCCATGCATAGAATGAGTATTGAATAATTAAATTAAGCAAAAAATAAATAAAAAGAGAGCAAACTAAGCAAGATTATTCCACCCACCCTACAACAAAGCCGATCTTTTAAGGGGGGAAGAGGGAGTAACAATAGCCAATCTTCAAAGGGAAGAGGTCTTTTAAGACTAAACTAAGCAGATAAAACATAAAGTCTTCTAATCATAATAGTGTGCATATCTGTATCTTCATAACGTTTTAAACTTTTTAATCCATATATAACAATTAAACGTTCACTCCGTCTTAAGTGCAAGTTACAGTTATTAATCCACTTTCTAACTAAAAAGGCACAAAGTAAAATGCTCGCATCGCATCACATCACATCGAGAAACTATTACTTGGATGTCTTCTTTCTTCATTTGGACCATGTAAGTTACTAACTTACTATTGTACAAATCCTAACAGTGCACCATGTAAGATGCGTATTGTGAACCACCACCGCCACCACCAAAAGAAAATTGTCAAGATGCACCATTCCATTTGAATTCCAGAAGTGAATTCCTCTCCAATCAAAGTGATAAATCTTAGCCCCACAATATGTTGAAGGAAAGATTATCCACCCCAGATAACACTCATTTTCTCATGACATGTGAGGGGAGTGACTGGGAGAGGAAAAAAAATATAGGAAATCAACTGGATTTCACTTAAAAAGTAAAGATTTTAAGGAGTGCGGTATTTTCAGTCCAAAGGTTTATTATTCACCAAAAACATGAAATACAACTCAATTGATTAAAGACAGGAGTAAAAGGCTTGTTCTCAAAAGGAAGCCAAAGAAAAAAAAATAAAAAAAATCCCTCTAATTAAATAAGGGAGTACAAGACTATTCATGCAGTCAATTCTCATATCACAAACTGCACAAGGTGGTCAATCTGGCTTATCATAAAGAAAACCAAAAGCTATCTCAATAACCAGATGATACTTGAATGAGACTAGCCAGACAACCACCATTGCAATGGATTCTGTACATTTCCTTTCCAAAGTTTCAAGCAGTGACAGTCAGATTAACTCAAGAGGTAACATTTAGACCTTATGTTTCTCGTCATCATAACCATATCAAGAACAAGAAACAAACATGTATCACCAAAAAAAATCATGAAGAATACAGACAAAATTCAGAGGCGGTTACCTCCATCAAAATTCCTCTCAGACTTTCAGCTTGATTGGGAACAACCTTAATCACTCTCAGCTGAAAGTCACCCAGTTTATACTGCACTCCCTGCACCATCAACATAAACAACTGAGCAAGAAGACAATAAAACGTAAAAATCATGACACAAGCAAAATAAAAAACGGAAAACAGTTACTTCGAAATGAAGAGCCACTTTGGATTTATAGGACTGGAGTTTCTCCATTATAGTCAAGATTGAAGAATCAGCCTCAAGAACAATCTTATGGCCCCGAATTATGAAGTAGTATTTGTTGGGCTGCTCCAGCAGCGATATCCCCAGAAAATCACGCGGGAAATCGATAGGGATTGATTGGTCTGCGGGGCGACCATGAAAATCAGAATGAAAGGGTTTCAGAGAGAAAATTAAGAAAAAGAAAAAAAAAGGAAGCGATTAAGGAAGAAGAGGCAACCTCGCAAATTGGGTCTGTAGAATGTGAGGGTAGCTTTCCATCTTCCGTCTTTGACGCCGTTGAGGTTCTCGACGCACTGTGAAATTTCATTCAATGTTTGGCTGTTCACCATAGTTCCTTGGTTGGGTTGCCAGTGCAGAATCCTAACAGAGAAAACCGCAAAAAAATCACAACTTTAAAATAATTGAAACAAATATGGAATTCATTTTGCTCATACCATCTGATAGGCATCCTCAGTTCTCGTAATTCCAAGCCCAGAGGGACTACTTCCCTGCTATTCGATTCACACAGAAGATGCTTGCGTTTCCAAACCCAGGATCCTATTTCCTCGCACGCTGTCGTTTAAATGCGGTACTTTTTTTGTGTCATTTTGCTTCCATAATTTTACTAAGTAAATACTCTTTTTCATCTTTACCAAATTTCATGACGTCTCATAACAAATAAATAGATTATTTGTGGTCTTTTCGATAAAATTATAATAGATTTATTTAGTTGAAATTGCGGTCCTTCATAAATTTAAAAAAATTCACATTAGTTCCTTAAAAGGATTAAAATGAATCTATTTTAAATTTTTTAAGGACTACGAATAGTTTTTTTATTTGTTAGCGACTAAGGTGAATATCGTAAAATTTGTTGAGGATCGAAAATAGTATTTACTCAATTTTATTTTTGGAAAAAACATGTGACGCAACTTTGTGTCATTCTGTGGTTTTTTACTTTTTTTTGTTTTTGTTTTTTACACAATACTCTTTTTTTTTTATTTTGTGAAGGAGATAAAGGAAAAATTTATTAAAACATAATAATTTTACTAAAAATAACATAAATTATGTTTTTTAAAATAATAAATATTTTTTTCTTTATTTTTCTCTCAAAAAAACGATCAAACGTCATTTTTTTGGAAAATAAAATTACCGAAATGCCATTTTTCTAAAATTAACCAATATACCATTTAGAACACCCGTTGTCAGGTACAGCGAGTCTTATTTGGTCACGTGCACCATTGGCACAGACATATTGTCGAACACAATGTATCTTTGTCCTGCTGCTGGGCCCAACGATATGCTATGTCCCTTGTATCTAACACGCTAAACCCACTGGTTGCATCCCAACTCATTAATTTACGCTAAACATTTAAATTTACTCCATGCCTCACAATATTGTTAATTTTAGTGATCATTGCATCCCAGCACGTTAATTTATCGCCTTTTTTTTCTAATGCCATTTCTTAATTTACTATGCACAATCAAAATGATAATTTAATATTGAAAAATATATTTATCATTTTAAAGACATGATTTTATGTTGTTTTAAATAAAATTATTATATTTTTGTGACTTTTACCTTCTTTTTTCCTCAAAACTCTTTTTCTCTCTCTCTCCTTTTTATTTTTTGAAGGAAAAAAAGTAAAAAAAATCTATCAAAACATAATAATTTTACTTAAAATGACATAAAATTTTATCTTTTGAAATGATAAATATTTTTCCATCAATATTTAATATAATAATTTTCTTTAATATTTTTTAAAAATAAATACCATTTTTTTTAAAAAAAATTACATATTTATTTTGGAGAAGGTTATACTTACAATTATTTTAGCCTAATTATCAATTAGTTACTGTTGGATCAATTTGAAATCATCGGTAGTTAATTTTTCTTAACTTTTTAGCCATTGATTTCAAATTAATTCAATAATAATCAATCAGATAGTAAGAATAGTAAACTTAAAATAATAATAATTTATTTCAAATGATAAAAACTAAATTGTGCCTGAAAAACTCCGAACCCTGCGAGTGCAACCATTACTTACCCTTTATTTGGAAAAAAATACACAACGACAATCCCACTCATAGTAGTTAAAATCTGGATTTAAGTCTTAAAATCTCAATTTTAACGATTTATTTTTGCAAAAACGATTTAGATTTCACTTAAAATCATTTCCAATATAAAATCTCGATTTAGACTTTTACTTAAGTCCCGATTTTAAAATTTAAATCCCGATTTTAACTATTGGAATGATGTTAAGCAAGTTAGAAAAATTGTTGAATATAACATTGCTGATATTTCATCCGGAGATGAATGGATTATGGAAAATGAAGGAACTTTATCTCATGATGAAAGTTTAGATAAGACAATTTTGAATGATGTAGTTGAAGATCACGTGGAACAGAATGTCTTCGATGATAATAACTTGAATGATTTATTAGCTTAGACCCTTAGAGTGTGACAATTGTATGCAAATGTATAAGGATGGTGGCAAGTAGTCTATTTTTCTTAATTTTTTTTATACATAAGTATATGTATGTAAAAATTTAATTTTAGAGTGCAGGTAAAATTTACGATTTGTATTACGATTTTACGATTTTTTATTTCCTTTTCGATTTTAGGTAAAATCTCGATTTTGACTGCCTTGATCCGAGTCACTCACCACACCATCACCTTCAGAATCGGAACTCTTTTTTCCTCCAGCTGACTTGGACAGTTCAAGTACTTGGTTGCTTTCATTTTGATGATCCAGTGAATAAATAATGAGAGTGATGCTTCTTTCTTTACATTTTTTTCAATGAATGTCCCCCCTCCCCTATACAATTACAAGAGGACTATTCTAATTCTTTTTATTCTTATTTCTTCCGAGTGAAGAGAATGGTATCCTTCCCTTCCTTTTCATGGCATTATTCCAATGCTCCCTCTCAATTTTATGAATGTTAACTCAAAATTAAAACAACTGAACTATGTAAGTAATAGCATACAAAAACGGCACTAGACATTGGGTCCCTCAATACTTCAACAACATTATCGTAAAAGCGGGAGCAATTGAAGTAAGACCTCACAGAATACCAACCCCACCATGTAAGTACATTATTGGCCTTTGATTCAAGTATATGCACCGGGTAGGAACTATATGCACCGGTCCTTGTGTGTATAACTGATTTCGTCTCCCTCATAACACGAATATAGCTAGTTGGCAACAGACCTTTCAGAATATCTCTAGGGAAAGGGAGGTAGGCACTCTCTCACTTTCAGGAAAATGATCTTAACTCAGCCTCTGTTACCAGAAAACAAAGACCTCTAGAGACTGATGACTATAAACGTAGAATATATATTGGTTTCAAGAAACCCTAACTCTTAGCAGCTGAATGGACTCTAAGTTTCTTGTGCTCTTCTTACACACTATAAGAGTCATAGAAGCCATTGAGATTAATCTAGTGCTGAGAGGTATGTGTAAGTTGTATTAGGTCATGGGATCAATTCTCACTTGTTTCGAAAATAAATACATAAGAGTTATAGAGAGATCTCCGGCCATAACTAAGCCCATAATTAATAAGGAATACAACAATCAAAGAAGCTGAAGGATTGGAAATTGAAAGCTGGGTGGTGGATGATTTATCTTCCAAATCAAGCCATCAGCCTCTGCTTTTGGGTGGCCATTCATTGTTTAGATTATTGTATTGTAATTATTTAAAGAGTAGACTTCTATTATTTAGATGCAACTATTAGTGATACTAACGGAATTCCGTTGAATATGCGGTCTTAATCTGTGGTGAATAAGGATGAAATGCACCAATGCACTTATGGGGTGCCCCTGGAGACATTACTGCTGAATGCACGATCTATATATTATTGTAACATTCTGATAAAAGTAAAACCTCTTATCAAATTTTACATTTATCTTTACAATATTCACAATGTGGCTCTAGCAATTTTCTGTTTCCTTGCTACAATTATCATCTAACTATCTACCTCTACGTTACCCATACAGTCTACAGCTACATTATAGAGAAGTCATCATCAAGTCCATCTAATTCTCCTCTGAGTTTGTGTTGTTGGATTATCAACACAGAGACTGTCATTAAGAAGTCTGATCCTGAAAGAACATCCCCTATTGGTCCAAGTTCTGGGCAATGTTGCCAGTCATTCATCCCCCTTGTCAATATAGAGTTCACTCCACCTTCTCTTCCTACTATGACCAGTGAGTATTGACCTTCAAATGATCTGAGAGTGGAGAAGGTCTCAGCTGCATTTGCAAGATGTTTCTCCGTATAGGAAATACGACCTCCAACTATATGCTTTTCATAGAACTGTGCAAAGTATTCATCATCCAATCCCATCTCCTCCTCCAGCCCTGGAATGCTTACCCTATAAGCTGCTAATCTTGAGGATTCTGCACTTGTATCTACCAGAAATCTTATTACTGTGAGTTTTACTCCTTTATGCCTAGCTACTAGACCTGCATAGGCAAGTGCTTCTCTATCATCTTTTCCACCAATGAATATTACTGCCACTTTCACGGATGCCTCACATCTTGATATCTTTTCAATGGATCCAAAGCCTCTGTTCACTAGAATCCCCACCGAACAAGGAGCACTCCTCAATACCTGTTCAACAAAATATCTATTAATTCAAGTACTTCGCAAGTAAGTTGTTTCTTTTGTGTACTCTACACTAACAAAACAATAAAGCATATCGATTTTTAAAAGACAGTAACGTATAGGTGAGACTATAACTTGGAACTATGTTGCTCTAACTTCAATATACTGTCTAAGATTTTCTGATATTTCTTTTCCTTAATGATATCAAAGATGAACTGATAAGAGATCATATTTGGTTAAAACTTCAAACTCTATTTTGGATGAGAGTTCATAGGTTCAAATTGTAAAAAAAAAAATTCCTGAAAATAAATACCTTTCGGTTCACATGTCTGAACCCTTGATTGCCACTATCCAATTTTCCATCCTGACGCTGGCTCATGTGGAATGGTAATATGATGAGGGCAATCATCAAGTCTTCTGCTAAAACGCAAATGTCCCTTGCCATGTTATTGATTGTTGACACTGCCAATGTCCTTTTGAGCGTAATACCATCACCATCCTCATCTACATAGGCTTGAAAGGAGCTGGTTACTTGGTCTCTCATCTCCATGACTTTCTTGTCTTTCACAATTGTTGCTAGTACTCCCTCACCCCTCTCTACTGTGGCTGCTAATTGTTCAGTTAGTTCAATCATTTCAGCAACATATACAAGAATGCCAGGGTCTGCTGTCCCCCTTGAGATCTCCATGAAGTTGATGGAAGCAGGAACATTGTCAGGTCCATGAACGCACAGAAGTATCCTTAGCTCACTTAATGGATCGAGCAATTGGAGGGCCATGCGATGAGTAGGTGCTCTCTTCCTGGCACGTTTGATGATATTTGCCACAACTGTGGGGCCATGCACCACCGTGAAAAATACTGCAATTAGCATAGCAATGCTGGAGGAAACACTGCTGACGCCACAACCAATCTGATAACAGAAGGACAAGCTATGAGATTGATTTAATGGTAAACATGATTTCAGTTATTTTTGTTACAATTCTGAAAAAAGTTTAGCTATTACAGAGTTATCTCTTTCTGCTGCATGTGTCTTTTTGTTTAACAATTATAAGTGAGTCTCTACACCCTTCCTAGATTCTCAATATCATATATTTCTGCTTAAGGAGAGATATAGATTCAAAGAAAATATCTCTTCTGAGGCTAACTTTTGCCTTTTGTCTACATAATGCTCCTATACTGGATTTTCAAATGACTTAGATTTCCTGATGTTCAACAAGCAAGATTCAAATGCTGCACTTAGTGTCATTGGTGAAGGAAAATGTGTCATCCTTTATTATTTAATACTTCAAATTCTCTGGGTTAGAAGCATGCTGCTATGTCAATTCACGCATAAAATGGAAACATTTTGACACTCAACGTACATGATGGTAGTTGACATCACTTGGAGACATCATAAAAGTTACAATGCTAGAAATTTGAATTGACACATATGAAAGGGCAGGCAACTATTTGAGAAAATGAGAATACTTGCCAATTTGACAGCTATGTAGATATGAAAATGGCCCTTGACCGAGAGGAGCAATCCGATTGCAACAGATTCAGGCCAGTGAAAGCCAAGCATTGCCCCAGAAATAACTGTTCCAGCAATTTTACCTAACGTCACTACCACTATGGGTACAAATAATCTCATCCATGTTGATAGCTGTCCAACCTCAAACTCCCTGAAATGAGCTGCATAACCCATCCACAAGAAAAAGATGGGAAAGAAGATGATGTTCAACATGTAGTTGATTTTGCCTATAACCCATTTGGAAACTCTTCCATTCCGGGGAAAACAAACCCCTGTTATAAACGCACTTAGAATTGGACTGTAGTCATATAGAGTTGAGGAGGCACAAACCATTGTCATGAAGGCAATTGACAGTACCAGGTGTGAACCTTTCATGGGTTTTCCTTCTGGGTTTTCGTTGTCAACCCAATTCATAAAAATTGGTGAAACTATGGCTGCCAACAATGTCTGCCCAATAACTGCACACCCCATTATAATGGTCTTCTTAAGACGGTTCTTTACTTCCACATCATTGCAAAATGTATCCAATGGCATAGAAATGTAGCCAACTGAAAGAAGCAAAATGCACAAGCAATCTGAGTGCATCCCTGCTGCTATGACAAGCTTCCCAATATCAGACTTACCTATTTTGAGGTGAGTTATTAGACGGGTCAAGACTGGGGATGCTGTGCTAGAAAGGAAAATACATAAGCAGATGATGAATTCTATTCCATGTTTTCCTGAGAAGATGCGGAGAATTGGGGTTGTGAAAAGGGCTAGCATGAACGTGGATATTACTGCTGCGTAAGCAATGTGAACATCCCTAGTTGGTCGTTTGAATAGTACGTAAGGATCCATTTCTATTCCCAAGGCAAACATGTAACACACCATACCAAAATCAATGATAAACTCAAACGTCCTGTTGAATCCCGCATATAGTTCACGTAAAAAAGGTACGTTGCCCATAACTAGTCCTACCTGCATAAACATGATTAACAGCTAGCATCAGAAACTTCATTTTTCAGTACTATGTATATTTTTATTGTTCATTATGAGAGGAAGGCTTACAATTATGTCAGAAGTAATGCGAGGTTGTGAAAAAGGCCTTAGTAGGAAATGTAAACCATTGCATGCAATAACCATCACCATGAACATAACGAAATTTTTGCCTAATTGAAGCATGAGGGAGCCTAGCTTCTCTGAACATTGGACTAACGCCATTGGCCCACCAAAAACTATTTGAGGTTTGATTAGGTAAATATGTATATATATATATATACATATGTATATATGTATGTATTTATGTTTGTATATGCCTTGCTTTTCTTTTTTCTCTAGCTTACTCTTATATCTTTCTTCCTTACAGTCTCATCGCCAAGTACACAATTTTTCGTTCCCATTTTTTTTTTTCTTTTTCTTTTTTGTTTTGCTCATGATCAATTGTCGCCAATTTTTGGCCAAAGCCTCTGGTAGAAGCGAGTGGTCGTTATTAATAGCTTACTTTCAGGAGACAATGATGGAACACTACTCTCACTTGTATAACACGTAAATGGAAGTAGAACACAAATGTAGGTTCGTGAATTGGAGGATTTGGACACTGCGGGAGAGGAGGATCATAAACCGGAAAACATGGATAAATCACATGTTCTACTAAATCTACATCACTAATTATTTGAAAATGCCACGGTGCTCCATCTTACATAATTTTTCTAATGGAGTATAAAAGAATAACAAGGTAGTTTGAGAGCTATACACCCTTTATATTTTGGTGTGTATGATTTGATACATTTCTGGGTTATTTAGAAAATGTCATTACCGAACCGAAGAATTTATTTTACATCAAATTTATGTCATTTTTAGGGGTGACTACAGTGAATTATAAAATTTACCAGATAAATAGATACAAGACAGGTTTTATATTACAAAGAAAGCTCATGCGATAATTGTAAGGAAAAAGGTATTTCAATTTTAATAGTTCTTTTTTAAAATAATTATTATTATAACAATAAAACTTCTTGTATCTAACATTTAGAGTGTTAAAATTTAAGTCTAGACTTCGCTAATAATTATCTAACATTATACACAAATATTATAGGTATGTCATGATCCAACTTCTTTTTTCTACATACTAAAAAAGATATGGGATTTATTCTATTTTTTTTTTCTCTTTTTCTATGCAGTGAAATTCATAATATTTATGTGTATATGACATGACACAAAAAATGTCAAGCAACATTATATTCATAAAACTTATAAATTTGATCCCCTAAACACAAGTTTGCGATATGTTATATTAAAGATGTGTATGATGACATTGACGGTACAAATGTTGGCTGAAATAATATTTCGACTGTCAAATAAATTCAACAAGTAATTTATCCGGACCAAACAAAGTGGATGAAGGGTACGTCTAGTCCAACAACATTCTAAAAGGTCTAAGGACAAAAACTTTAGCAAAACAAATATTTCACGTGTAAACGTAATTCCGTAGATATAAATAAATAAAAAAATACTCATAATCTAATATTTTAAGATTTTGAGTTAAAATTTAACACCTAGCCCACTCATTATAATGAATTACTGTCTAACTCATTTCGTAGTAATTCTTTCCTAGCATGGTTCCCATTTACTCAACACAATGAACATGGTAATTCAACATTTTAATATAAAAAATTCACTTTAACACTCCAAAAAATAAGTATCATATTATTTTATTAAATAAATATTTATTTCAAAAATTACAAACTAATTAATAAAAATTAAAAAGTTTTTATTATTAAATTTGTAGTTTTTAATATTTAATTTATAATTTAAAAAAAAAAAAACATAATATGATATTTGACATTTATAAGGGATTCTTTGAATGTCGGGTAGTGACTGGCACCTGACACAGTCAGATCAGATGGTTCAATGCAAAGGATTATAAGTGTATGTTTACATCTGTCACTCCTGATTAGTGTTAAAGTCCCTACAGGCCTGAGAAAGTCTGAATCCTGCAACCACTACTTAACACTTTATTTGCACCAATACACAACAACAGTCCCACTCACTCACCACACCACACCACACTCTTCACAATCAGAACTCTTTTTTGGCTAAAGCTGCCTTGGACAGTCCAAGGGTGGCTACTTGGTTGCTTTCATTTTTATGACCCAGTAAATAAATAATGAAAGCGACTCTTCTTTCTTCACATTTTTTTTTTTTAGTAAATGTTTTTTTAATTTTATTTACAATTACATGGGCGTGGAGAGGAGCGAGGACAGTTCTATTTTTTTAATTTGTATGTTATTTTTCAGAGTGAAGAGAATGGTATTCTTCCCCTCCTTTGTATAGCTTTATTAAAAGATAAATGTGTACTAGCTGGGCAATTTATGTATTATGTTATATAGGTTGCAGAAGGGCGTGAAAGGAAATGACAAGTTTTGCCCACTAAAATAGTATTTAAAATTAGGGGAAAACACTTCTCTTATCATAAGAGAAGTGTCTCCTTATATTATATTTACACCATTTTACATATTTAATTTTTATTTTTTTCAGTAGAATCCACCTGAATATGTTATGTAAGAAAATTCTTTTTCTCAGGTGAAAAAGGTGAAAAGAGAAATGTAAAGCCCTTAAAATTATTTATATCATTTCATTGAAAGATCATTCTTTGTTTAATATTCAAAAAAAATTAAACTATCACTTCATGACGAAGTCTTTTACAAATCAAGTAAAGTAGTTTACAATATAACTTGCACTTAATCCACTAACATTAGCTTAGAATATACAAGCTTTACATCGATATAAAATGAGTACTTAAAGCGCAACACATTCGACGCAACGAAACATAGTCAGTTTTTTTTTTTTTTTCCTAGACTTAAACATATGCATGATTATTTGTTAGTTTACAAAGTAAACTACCAACATTTATGGTAAGCATTTGGGGTCACAATTTCTCCAACATAGTTTTTAACGGGGTTCCTTCGTAACTGAAAAACTTTGTATGCACTGAATCATTTCTGATCTTATTATTTCATTTGGATGTTGCTCTGTAGAACTGAGGCACATGTACCCGACCTCATCAACAGAGGTCAGTAATGCTGATGAAGCAGCATATCGCGATAATAAAATAGTAAAATGAATATAATAGTGATGACAAAATGACTTTGAGCAAACTTTTTTTTTTTTTTTTTGGGTACACTCAAACCTTGTTTCTCAATCAAGGGTGTTGTTTACCATTGTTAGTTATTATGTAAATCTGTGTACTTGGTTATTAGTAATCAATGAGTTTCCCTTTGGTTTAACTTTAATGACTACCAGATTCGCAGAGTACACTTAATTTTGGAGTTCATAATTGACAAACAAGAAAATCCTGGGGGCCATAAACATCCAATATTAGCTCAAACCAAAGAAAAAAAAACATATGTGCCTTTGAATGTTAGCTCAAACCAAAGAAAAAAAAAAACAGATATGGCGATGTCACTGGGAGAATCTGAAACTATGTCCGTCCGGTAGAAAGAACATTACTTTGAAAACAATAGCATACAACTGGATCCCTCGATGGAGGCACAAATCAAATCCACTTCAACAACATTATCGAAAAAGTGGGAGCAATTGAAGGAAGACCTCACAGAATACCAACCCAACCATGTAAGTGTACATTATTGGCCTTTGAGTCAAGTACATGCACCCATTATTGAAAGCTAAGCTCAACCATCTGCATAACAAAATGTGAGTTAACTTAAAGATACATCCTCAGCCATAAGCCCATAACTAAGAAGGAATACAACAATCAAAGAAGCTGAGGGTTTCTCAAGTACCTTGTTGGGTTGAGGAACTAAAAGCTGTAAAATCATGAGTAGATGTGGGAATGGAAATTGAAAGCTGGGTGGTGGATGATTTATCATCCAAATCAAGCCACGAGCCTCGGCTTTTGGGTGGCCATTCATCGAAGAATCGATGAACGGTCTTTTGAGGCTCTTCTTTCCCAAGTTTCATGAATGTTTCACATTTGATATCACTGCCTGATATGTAGCAACCATGATCTTGCTGTGGTTGTTTTGAGTTGTCATTGAGGCTCTGAAGTTGCAAGTAAGAGTACTCATTGTTGTCGTTGGATAAGCCAGAGCAACTCCTCTGTTTTGAAGACGATGAGGAGCTTATAGTCAGTGGTGTGAGTTGCCAAGAATCATCCATAGAGGAAGCAGAGAAGCTTCTCATAGTTCCAGAAGGTTCAGTGAAGAAAGCGTGCTCATCCACCTCCTCTTTGAGTCCATATACATACCTGTTCCTTTTTCAAAAAGAAGAAGAAGAAAAGGAGAATCACTCACAAACACTTGAAAGAATGGAACTTAAAACTTAAGCACTGTGTATGTGATGGATTTGAGAAAAAGAACCTGCAGTCAGTGTTATTATGAGAGCAAGAACCAGTGTCAAGAAACAAGGGAACATTGTTGTCTTGAAATGATAAACCAATACCAGATGATGATGGCCTTGAAGGTGGTGGATGATAGAGGAAGGAGTGCTGAGGGTGATGATGGTAAGAGTCATGAGAGGACACCGATGTAAGAGGTGAGAGAGAATGAGTGGTTGGGGTTAGTGAAGGGCTATTTTTTGTGATTGATAAGATTGTTGGTGTTGTTGAAGCATTTATGTTTGTTGGTGTTGGTGTTGGTGTTGTTTTCAAAACTTCCACAGGCTTTCTTGAACGGTTTTTCCCTCTATGCATGTGCCTCTCACAGTACTTTGATTCTGGGTATGCCTCTTTTGAGCACCTCCATTTCTTTCCATCTGTTCTTCTGCACCTACCTGGCTCTGGGTCTATTTTTCTTCCCAAACCCATTGGCAAATAGTTCCACCCAACTGCATGTATCCAAAAAAAAAAAACCCTTTCGTCAAACTATTGGTTCAAAGAACCCAAATTATATGTTCAAGTGCATACAAGACTTACAGTGTTGATGAGGCTGGTGAGGCAAGAGCCTTGAAGACATAGGAGAGTCCAAGTAGCTTCTTTTGATAGTGCAGAGAAGATCAGGTGGAATGGAGATACCTGAAGCCATGTATTTGTATATAAGAGCTTGATGTTCAAGCTCTTGCCACTGTGATGGAGTAAAAGGGAACCTGTTCCTTCCATTCATCATAAAACAGGAAAAACAAATTAAAACAACAAAGGGGGTAAAAAGGAATCAAGAAGCACAGAGCTGATGGGTGATAGTAACAAATGAAACAGAACTTCTTCAGAGCTCACAGTGCATTGAAAGAGAAGAAATAACAGCAGAAGAGTTTTGAGTGTTTAGGGGTTATTTACTTATTACTTTAGGCCTTGGAGTAGGGTAGGTATATTTATTTCAGAGACCATTGTGTTACAGAATCTGCTGTACATGAATAAACTAATGGTTTCTGATTACGACTGTGAGGTGCATGCCAATGGACTCTATCTGCTCCTATTATGACTCAACCTCTCTTATTGCTATTGCTACTGCTTCTGCAACTAAGCTGCCTCTCTGGCACCTCTTGTCTCTGACATCTTTTACGGAAATCCATAAACTAAAGAGGGGAGGGAGAGTGAGAGAGAAAAACAAAAAGCTCCTAAAGACAAAAGAGGAAATAGTTATTATTGGTATTATTTTATAAGAGACTATATTTAAGAGTTGGTGGTGTCTGAAGCCAATGTCTGTCGGAGAAGATTGTACGGTTTGAGCTTTTACTGCTACTAACTCATTTACTTTTTCTGTTCCTTTACCTCAGACTCAGACCCCAGAACCCCCCCACTTACAATTTCACCTTTTTCCCATTTCAGAAAAGTAGAAAATAAGAGATGCAGAGATAAAACAGGAATCCTCCACCTGTAATTTTAGCTGGGGTTATTTTGTATTGTCGTTTTGCTAGTTCCATTGAAACAAGTTCCATATTTTGTTAAAAGCAAAGCTACTTACCTAATCCAAGTACTGATTCAAATCTTGTACTTGTAGTGGTTAGTGCTCAGACAGTGTGATCTTTACAGTCTCTTAGTATTAGAACTTGATCATCCGGTTGCCCTGCAAGTTAAATATTATAGAAAAAATATTTATCTTTTTAAATAACATAATTTCTGTTATTTTACTTTTATAAAAAGACGAGATCGACATATTTTTTTTGTTTTGTCCATTATCTCTGTTGAAATGCAGAAGCAACTACAATTTATCCGTACTTCAAAATGAAACAGCCCTCACATGCTTAGATATAACACCCTTTTTTCTGTTTTATGCAAGACAAAAGAAATGGCACAAAGGAATATATTAGTTTACATTATGAGAATATATTATCTCATGTTAAAATTTTAGATTACGTTATCTCATGTGAAATTTATGAATATCTTTCTTTTTTGGTACAAAAAAATTATGAATATCTTTGAAAAAAAAGGAGAAATATACATAAAATTTTCATGTGAGAAATCTCAACATGAAATGATTCGTTCATCACTTCTTAAGCAATAGCAGAACACTACAATCTGAATATAGATATTGATTGCAATAATGAAAAGCAGTTCAATAGTGTTAGGTTGCATTAAGACCCTTGGAGCTAAAAAAAAATTTCGGAAATATTTTTCTTATGTCGTGGAAAAATAGTTATATCATGTTGTAGAAATAGAATTGCAAGTGGGACTCGCAAATAAGAGAAGAGAAAAAAAAGAGTGGTGGAATCCACTCCTCTTTTGTATGTGTAAAAAAATTATTTATCTCATGTAAAATAAAATAAATATAACCTTTTTTTTTTTGCGAGATTTTTCCAACAGTTTATTGAGAAGATCACAATGACCTCAACACATCCTCGTTACCTTTGTACAAAACCCTGCTTCAACAAATAGACATTCTTGCTTGTAGAAGCAATGCAGCTTGTCTACCACACATTGTGGCAAGAGTACAAACTCTTATTAATCAAGATTGGTTAGCTTGTCTACCCCACATTGTGGCAAGAGTACAAACTCTTATTAATCAAGATTGGTTAGTGACTCTAAAGCATATCCGAGAGTAGCTAATAGGTGCGCTGACTGGCTAGCCAAGTCTTCAATCCAGAATTCCTTTGATCTACAGTGCTATCGGATTATGCCTACTGATCTGATTTCCTTGTTTAATTTAGACCTCAATGAAATATCTCAGTGCATAGATGCGGATCCTGGCTAGTTAGGGTTTTTTTTCTGTTTGTTTTAGTGGTTTTTTCTGTCTTCTTGGGGCCTAGCCCCTATCTATTATAAAAAAAAAAAAAAAAAAATAGACATTCTTGCTTAGACGTCTATGCTTCAAATTACATTATATCTTGTTTTAACATCCAACTCTTTTTGCCTTTATTTCGTTTAGATACTCAAACTTTTTGTCAATCTTAATGCTCACAGAACTGGTTTGCTGCTGACATAACACACCCTCACAATATTGAGTGCCATATATGATTTTGTTGATATATAGAAAGTATGTTGGAACAGAGATAGATGATATCGCGCATAAAAAAGATATTATTTTATGGGGAAAAATTTCTGTTTTTGGTTGTACAAAAATTTTTTCGGTCACATTCACATAAAAATAAATATATCTCATTATAAAAAAAGAGAGAGAAATTTGATAAAATTCACTTAATTTTATATGAGTGTGGTTGATAAAAAATTTCTTATTTTATATGCATTAGAACTTCTAAAATGATAATTTGTGAGTTCATTGCTCACTATACATGTCATGTAATTTTTCTTTTTTTCTTTTTGGTCAGTGTATTATCTTTTACCTTTAATTTTGTCAAAACGGTAGAATTTCCCATCGCAATAGTATCATCTGTTAGAAAAAGCATTCATTATCCTCACCAAAAATACTCTTGGAAGTTGTCATCAATTATGTTGTTATGATCGAGGATAATAAATTAGTAAAAGTCCTCACCAAGAATTTCCTACCCTGAGAGAGAGAGAGTAAACCCAAACCCGATGCACTTCAACTAATAAACAACTTAAAATATTACAAAAAAAAATAAAATAAAATAAACAACTTAAAGTATAAATTATGCATAAAAAAATACAAGCCGAAATTTATTACGTTGCCGCATGTTCGATAAGAGTGTAAATAATAATACAAGGGTACTGTTCTATCAAATAAGTAGGAATCAATTGATTCACAAAATACTCCCATTTTAATTCTGAAAAATATTATTCTCATGTTACATAAGATAATTTTTCTTTCATATACTCATAATTTAGAGGAGAGAATAAAGAAGAGAAAAAAAAATAGAAAATGGATCCCATCCTTAATTTATGAGTGCATTAAAGAAAAATTCTCTACAGTAATATTCTCCTTTAATTTTTCATCGAATATTTTATAAATGAGAAAAAGTGCAAGCAACATGAGTAAGCCATCCATGATTTGTTCCACTTTATGAAACCACAGAGGCTAAGGTCTCAAAGCATGCCACGTACCTTTGAATTTGGCATTCATAGTCAAAACAATTAAAGTCCAAAATGCTTAATCAAAGCTCCACAAAACTACCAAGTTACTGAAAACAGCGGCACATTTAAGAAGTAAAAGGTCCAAAGCAGGAAGGGACACATCATATGTTTCCATTAATGTAACAGCCAGAAGGGCAAATCCCGGTGTCTCTGCTGTAGTATTCTGGTTTTGAATCAAGCAGAGCTGACACATCTTGAACTTGGACCACAGTCTTGAGACCACACAAGACACAACACAACACAACCCACGCTTAGTCAATAGTGATCATATCATATCCCCAACTTGCAATTGCAGTCACAACTACACACTCAACGCTCTCCAATTTTTATCCTTGTGTAATGCCAATTGGAGTGAAAACGTTAGGAAAAGGTCTTTAAACTCTGCAGACTATCTTTAAAATTCAGATTCTCAAATTTGAATATAGAACTTGCCTTGAAATAAACACAGTAGCTTGAAAGTTTGAACTATGGCATGGACCTATTCACTTTGAATTAGTTTTTATTTGTAAGTATAGATTATACTTACATCTATTTTTTTCTTATAATCTCCTACAATCATTTTTATTATTATTGGATCAAAATAAAATCAAAAATTAATTATTTTTATTATCCCAATTGTCATTTTTGTTACCGTTTAATCAAAATCTAATTAACGATTATAAAATAATATTAAGTAAGGGGGTGTTTGGTTCAAGTTTTTGGAGAGGATTACCGGTAATCCTTCTTTGGTAAATGTAATTACCACGTTTGGTAGAAGGAATAAATTACGATTCCCGGATATCCAAGGATTACCGGTAATTTGATTTATAAAGAAAAGTCACTATTCAGATTACCAAAAATAATATGGTAATTCGGAATACTAATCAGAATACCAAGTAAAAGGAAAGCACAACAATAAATTTTGAGACAAAAATACCCCAATACACATAAAAATCTAGACCCAATCTATCAATTACAAAAGTAAAAATAGTTTGGGGTTATTTTTGTAAAATAACCTCATATTCCAAGTCATATTTCGTTCTAAACCAAATATGGAATCAGTAATTTTTACCCAATATTCCCGGTAATATTTTGGCGAACCAAACACATCTTTCATAAGATTCCAAGTAAACTCAATTTCTACTGAATTCCCATTAATCATGATTCCCGGTCACCAAAAAATTTCTCCTGTACCAAACACACCCTAAGAGTCATTATTTTGATTTTGATTCAATAATTATAAAATATTGTAAGAAAAAAATGACTGTAAATATAATCTTCCTCATTATCTATTTACTTTTTAAACATAACTTTTTTTGTTAGTTATAAGTATTTGCAATCATTTAGCTGGTGTTATGTGTAACAGACCTTTCTGGACCAACCCAATTTTACAATCCTTACCTCCGATCCAAAACAAAAAAAGAAACTCGCAACTCGTAAGTACCCATGGGCATGCATGCAATTTCATTCCATTAAAGAAATATAGTTATTATTAACTTCACATAGCCATGGCAAGGCATAGTAGCCTCAATTTCAAACACAAAGTCATGTGAACACTTCCAAGTTCCAACAAATTTTCAAGCGCTGCATCTCACCTACATAATAAATATCCATTATTTGTCTCTAATAAATATCCTACAAAAGCAAACTGCAATTAACCATTTAAACAAATAACAAGCCTCGAATCCAGATCATGTTGTCTTTGATCCCCAAACACCACTGTTAGTAACACATAATAAGAGGTAGTAGCTTTCTTATAATCGGGTTGCAATATTTACATTTTGCATGAGAATAAGCTTATCATCTCTTACTCTTGGTGTGAGAAAAAAAGACAATTACATGGAACAAAACCCTATAACCATTTAAAAGCTCGAAGAGAGCCTAAAGGGGGGAAAACAAAAAGAAGGGCCCTAGAAGGGAGGTGTTTGTGTAAACGTGTCAAGAGGAGAAAATTTTAACTCCATATACGAGAATTATGCAACAATGAACTTCCGTCAAGCTTGAAATAAGACAATATTCTCAGAATGTTTTGCATGGCGGCCTTATTCCTTTTGTAAGAAAGAGAGAACAAGGTCTGTATGTACAGAGAAAAGCTGTGTATCCACGAAAAGCTGTTTAGCACAAGACAACAAAGCAGAAAAAATCTGCATTAGTAGTCTGAAAATACAATACCAGAACTGAAAAGGCTCTGTTAATATAGAAACATTTGTCATCTAAGTAAAACAAATTAGGCAAACAAGCTTAAGCTCATTCGAGTACGCTGTGATGAGCAAAAAGTACATGTTTAATGTTCAATAGTCTCTAAAAAAATTGGTTCTCATTAAACACATTCACTTGTGTTCTCACAAGTGTTTATGAATTGATGCACCTAAGAACATATGATCAGCCGACATGTGGAGACCCCAGACAAACAGGGTCAACAGTTGAAAATAAACTCAGACCCCACATTACAAGCACAACAACCTTTCCCAAGCCTCTGCAACAGGTTCTGGAGACCTAGCTAGTCCCTACATTGATTATTCCAGAGAAAATTAACAAATTCCACATGTTCTCTGCCTGAAAGGTTAATGTCAGCTCAATTTAGCCAGACAAATTTTAGCAAAAAAACTGCTTGCAGAGTGCTATAGTTGTGATCCTGAGAAGATAAAAATCTGAAAGTCTGAATTATATTCACATATTAAATGCAGATTTCGAGTTGGACTCAACTACTAGAAATCCAAAATAGTTTGCAAGTCAATTCCGATCATTTAAAACTCACAAGCAAATATGAGTAAAATTTGTTTACATAGTTAGCGTAAAGTATGATGTAAGCTCAAGATTCAAGAAACAAACCTTCATAAAAGGCCGATCACGATAAGGGAACGAGCCGATGAAACTCTCCTTCAAAAGCAAAGATACCTGAAGGTACAAGCCATCACTTCAGATCTTCAAAATATTTACTAAAATATGCTCATTGCAATGCATGTTAATGTTTATAAATGATTGGCTCACTTTAACACATGCCTTTCGGTTACAATTTTTTAAATTATACATAATCTTGTTTTATTCAAGTTTGCTTACTGAACTTAGGATATAATAATCTGCCTCACAGTCACATTAATGACCACTTGAGCAGAAGGCAAACCCAGGCATCTTAGTAATGTTTTCATATAGAGACAAAAAGGACAGTGATAAAGGTTGGGCATTAGATGCATAAAGGTGTTACACCTAAGCTTATCTAGTTGTATTGAGATATTTTAGGACTTCTGTCATTCATATCACTGAACTTTAAAATATCGCCAACAAAGAATTATCAGTAAATTAAGGTGGTTATTGGAAACAATTTCATTCCAAAAAAACTATGTTGTTTCTTTCATTAAAGGAAGATTATAAGTCCAACAAATAATTGATCCTTTTTTTTTTGGGTAAAATTAAGTCCAAGTCCAAGTTGGTTCTAGATTACAAGTATCAATCAAATCCTTATTTGCTGTCGAGACTAAAACACAGACCTTATCGTCATTGGATTGTACATTAGTAATTGTGTGAGAACGGATGTTATAGCAAAGAGAATCCAAATAAGATCTTAACACTGAAAGAAACCCCTTCGCAGCTTCAATCTGTAGAAGAACTAACATACATGAGAACCATAGACTAAAATATTGAGATGTGATTGTTAACAGTTTGGCATGGAAACAACTGTGAAAAACCAGAAACGCTACTTGAATTTTTCCGAGGATGCACAATATATAGATGAACTACTATGAAACTGAATAACTGCTTCTTACAAAATGGCAATTAGCTCGTTTGGATGAACTTTTAAAAAAAGGATTTTTTATAGCTTGCATTTTTTAGAATAATTTTATTTTTAAAGTTAGAGCTATTTTATGTTTGGATGGAATATATAAAAAAGAACTTTTAAATTAAAAAGTTATTTGGATGTTAAAATTAATAAGCACTATTTATATATAAAATTACTTAAAAGGATATGTGAGTGATGGTAGTGCGGTGGAGTAGTTGGATTAGAGTTGGGATAAAATTAAATTTTAAAAAATTATTTGACTTTTGGCTTCTGCTTTTTCATAAAGAAGGATTCTTGATTTCTAAAAAAAAGCACTATTTTAACTTCTATTTTTAAATTCTGCTTTTTGTAAAAGTTCATATCCAAATGCATAAAATGACCCAAAAGGACCTTACTTTTTTTTTAAAAAAAAAAAAGCAACTTCTTTTAAAAAAAATGGACAATCTAAATGCACTCTAAATCACTTAATACAATACATGCAAGCATGACTGACGTCTGTAATGATCACAATACCAAAAATGATCGAAAGTAGAGAATGAGAGAGAGCAATGAAGAGGGAATCCGGAAGGGTAATGGTAATGGATAACATGAGATCATTTAGAAGGGCACACCTGCACTTCTGTACATTCATAAACCGGCCTTTTCCTACCCAAGTAGCTTTCCCCTACAAGAGTTGCATGATAAGAACGTAAAGAGGAAACTAGCTCTTTCTGTCTTGGCAGTTGTGGTAATGTTGGTGACTTCACCTATTGCAACATAACAGCAGTTTGATAAGAAACCGTGTGCCGATCTGCAACTCGAATATACAATGTAGAGACACCCAAACAATTAGCATATAAGCACATGAAAACCAAATAATTGGAGGAGCTTAGCCCCATTTTTTTTTTTCGGGGCAGGATTAATTGGAGCATATTCTACACTCACGTGAACCCACAATATACCATAAATATCTAACAGCTGTATAGTGTAAAAATAAATGGCTAGTAGTCTCTCAGAATCATAGAAACACATGAAAATAACAACTAGAAGGGAGCCCTTTCTATGTTCTGCAAACCTGCAACAAATCATTAGGAACTCAGGATATTCAATCTTTAACACATCTAATCAGTTTACCTTAATCAATCCTAAGCTTTAACCCTAACCTCCAAAATCTTAATTCTTTTGCTCCCATATGTTACACATTTAGCATGAGGTATCATTTGACTAACTAATAAAACTTAAAATTAAACTACCAAATTACTAAAACTGAATATTGCCTCAAACAAATCCCATCAACCTATCACACTACAAGGTCCATGCAAAATGTGCTATTAGTCTACATTAGTATCCACAAAATTAAGCCCAGAGTTATACTTGAAAAGAGAAAAACTGGTAAATATTATTGTTTTCGTAAAAACATAGGTATAAAAGGTTATAATATTTATAGAGAAACTAATGGGCCTAAGGTATAAACCCAAATCCTAAGAAATAAGAAAACATAACCTGACCAATAAAGAAAACAAATAATAACAAATATCTTCCACATTTACAACACTCCCCCTCAAGCTGAGGAATGTATATTTATCATTCCCAACTTATCAGTAAGTTCTTGAAATCTATCTGCGGGAAGTCCCTTGTTCAAGACATCTGCTAGTTGACAACTAGAGGGAATATAAGGTGTAGTAATTAGTCCACTGTCTAGTTTTTCTTTGATGAAGTGACGATCGATCTCAATATACTTGATTCTGTCATGTTGAACGGGATTGTGAGCTATACAGAGGGGGAGGTGGATTGCTTCTTCCTTTGATATAGTAGTTGCGGTGTCCGAGCATTCTGTACCTTCTTTCGATCAATAAGAGACATCTCACTTAAAGTATCAGATGAACTGTTAGACTCATCAACTGAGTTAGGCTCATCAACTAAGTCTTCTTACTTGTTATCAACTTCTGGAGTGCCTACGGAAGTAGAGACTAACTCAGGAGGTATAGGTAATGGTAAGGGAGGCTGAGACTCAAAGGAGAAAATGGACGAAGCTTATGAATTATTCTCCCCCTGAAGGTGAGGACGAGGGAAATATGATTCAGATTCATGGAAAGTGACATCCATGGAGACAAAGAACTTATGACTTGGAGGATGATAGCATTTATACCCCTTCTTGTCTAGAGCATAACCAAGGAAGATACATTTAAGAGCTCGAGGGTCTAATTTACTCAAATGTTGTTTATGAATATAGACGAAGGCAATACACCCAAAGACCCAATATTGAAGGCTTTACATGACTGGAACAAAAGGAAAGAAGGAAATCATGGAATGAACAAGACTCACATGGCCAAGCACTCGGGAGGGTAAGTTGTTGATCACATAGGTTGCTGTTAATATCGCTTCTCCTCAATAAGAGCTGGGAACATATGTCTGAAAAGTAATGCTCTGGTTAATTCAAGCAAGTGACAATTTTTCCTTTCAGCAAGTGACGATTTTTCCTTTTAGCAACCCCTCTTTGTTAAGGGGTATCCACACACGTGAGCTCATGAATCCAGGCGTTGGTTGACGTACTTCGTACCATTATCAGATCTTAATCGCTTAATACTTTTATCAAACTGTATCTTGATCATGTGATAAAACTGAATAAACAATTATGGTACTTTTGACTTGTCTTTCATCAAGAATACCCATGTCACCCGAATACAATCATCAGTAAAAGAAACAAATCACTTAGCACCTAAAATATTGTGCACTTTAGAAGGGTCCCAAACATCAAAGTGAATAAGAGTAAATGGCTCAATACTTTTTATTGAACTTAAAGGAAAGGACACATAATGGTGTTTTGCAAGCTTACAAACAGCACAATGGAAGGAGTCAATTGACTGATCCAGAAACAAAGAAATGACTTCAGTAGGCTAAATGACGGGTACCACAGGCGCTTATGATGAAGCCAAATTTGTGATACAGGAGTAGACGGGTGATGAGTCATCAATAATTGATTCTTGATATCACTTATAACATGCTCTAGAATGAGATAGTACAACTCACCTTACTCCTTAGCAACTCCAACCGTCCTCCTGGTGGTGAGATCCTGAATAATACAATGAGTGGAAAAAAATGTGACAACACACTTCAAGTCAGCTGTAAGCTTATAAGTGGAAATAAGATTGGTGGAGAGCTGAGGAACATAAATAACATTGTTTAGAAACAATGAGGGTTGAATTTGAATGTTACCAGAAACCACAACTAATTTGTGAGATCCATCAGCTATAGTATGGATACCCCTAGTAGGGTGATATGAAAGAAACGGCTCAGCTAGACAAGTCATATGATCAATTGCATCAAAATCCATAATCTATGAATTTTTGAAATCAGTGCAAGAGGCAAGAAGAGATGTACGGTATGTGATCTTACGAGACATAGCCAAAAGAACAAGTGTCATGAGGCTTACTAAAAGTATCAGCAATGGCCTTAATTTGCTCCAACTCTCCTCGTCGAATAGTCACATATGGGGATGCTTTACCAAGCTTGTCTAGAACCTGTTGCTTTCCATGAAGGCGAAAGCACATGTGTTTTGTGTGTCCAAACCCCTCATAGTGGATGCACGAACGTCCCATGGATGAAAAAAGAAAAAGGCAGCACATAAAAGGTGTGGACAATTACCACAGAAGTCAATGAAGTCTCCGAGAACCCCAAACAGCAGTGGAAAGATCGGATCCGAGTAATGAAGGTTCAAGAAAGCCAAAAAAACTCAAATCTGTGATCCAAACGATGTCCGTTGAACGAAGTGAAGGCAAATCTGAAGAGAGGATGAGTAATAAATGTCGCCAAAAAGTTTTTCTGGTGGCAGCGATTGGAATGGGACCAGAACCGACACAATCAAAGCACAGCTAGTGAAAAGCTCACTAAAGGAGAAGAACAATCTCACACAATAGGCGACGATTGCAACTGGAGGCAGGCTTAGGGTTTAGCAAAAGCAGCGGCTCCAAGATCGGAGCTCTGATACCAACTTGAAAAGAGAGAAACTGGTAAATATTATTGCTTTTGCAAAAACATAGGTACAAAGGGTTACAATATTTATAAAGAAACTAATGGGCCTAAAGGAATGAACCCAAATTCTAAGAAATAAGGAAACATAATCTAACCAATAAAGGAAAGAAATAATAACAAATATCTTCCATATTTATAACAGTAATAAACCTAAAACTTATATAATGAGCCCTTTCTTATCAAAAAGGGAAAACTAAATTTAACAAAGATGTCAATTTGACAACAGATTTATTTTAAGGAACCAGAAAATGAAACTCGAACGTGTTTCACAAGCAAATGGAAAAAATAATAAAATACAGTAGTACAAAATCAATGATATGAAGAATAATGTTTTCCTTCATTTGAAGCCATAACTTGTCAACGATAAAAGGAAAGAAAAGGTCATGCATACTAATGCTCAGTAAACTGTTGGGTCGAAAAGGATTTAGTTTTTATTAGTATTGAAAGCTGCAGAAAGAGTTTGGAATAAAAGTGGTGTTGATGTTGATGTTGTTAAAAATCACAAACCTGGTTTCTATTTGCATCAATCAGAATAACATTGCTAAACTTTGACTGAACTTCACTGGTCTTGTTCTTGATACCAACCTAGAGAATTAATTTTGTGGACAGTCAAAGATATCATAAATGGTATTATCAACTGAAGGTTTAAGATAAAAACAGTTGAACTTGAAAGCAAATTTAAAACTAAGCACTCCAATAACAAATCTAACATTATCTTCCAATATACACCACTCCCTATTAAACACCAACTAATGAAGGTGAAGTGAAAATTGTTCGCAGTGAAAATTGTTCGCATCATTACCCTTCCAATATATGAAAGGTAATATAAAAAGTTTTACCAGCTTCAAAGAAATATATCCAATATCAATATCTAAGTAATAGCTGGACATGTGCTGGGGCAAGCATGAGCATGTATTTAAAAGAACAAAATAATCCAAAATGCAAAAACAACCTCATGTCCCGACTTCAAGCAGATAATATTCTTAACTTAATACTTAAAGCAAGAAGAAAGGAATACTCACTATATAAGGGACGGGTGCATCTAAAAATTCAAGCATGTCATTCGGTAAAACCTGGAAGATAATGTTCTTATCAAATACCGTAAGGTGAAAAATATAAATTAATATAAAGTAAAAACTCATATTCACTTCCATGCTGGAAAAAGAAAATGAAAAAGAAATCAAACCGGCATCAGCAGGCTTTGCCATCGGTAAGGCTGGATTAGCGGAATAACTGATAAAACTGAAGCTGATAAGAATCCCTGGAAATGAAAGAAAATTTAAAATATTATATAATCAAATCAAGCCGGCAAAGCTATTTTTAATATGGACTAAGATAAAACATCAATGATTTTTTCAGTTGAACTCACCAAATTATCTCCCCAAAGATTGGGTGTGAAGCATAAGTTGTGCAAATTATTGAACAAGATAATTATAGGCATGCATATTTCATCGTTAGAGTGACTAATTTGTAAAACTAGAGGATAAGAATGTTGTTGCAAGATAGACAAATAACGAACATGGCTTTTACGTAAAAAATAAGCAGCAAAATGACTGTTCATATATGCATATGAACATGAGCCAGACCAACATAACAATGAGAAGAAACCAAAATAAAAATACAATTATTACGGTCCCTGATAGAGCAGGGACTTATCAATAAGGGAACACTAAGGTTTCCAAAGGATAAACCAATATATAAACAAGGGTAGATTAATCAATGTCACTGGATAATTACAAACTTAAATTTAGGTACAAGACATACCAAATTAGAACAGACGACAACTATCTGCTGCTCTAACAGAACTCCTGCAAAGAATGTTAACACCTGCAGATGGACACAGAATCAGTTAAACCAAATCATAGTTGTAAAACTCTTATACAACCATCATGAAACCATTACACTTGGAACACTGCATATCAACTTCAGGAGAAAACTGCCATGATAAATCTTCCATAGAAAAAAATCCATATACTTGGAAGATCAAGCATGATATTAACAATCAAGATCAACATCATCATCACCTTTATTCTAGACTAGTTGGGAAGCAAGATATTAACAATAAATGGCAAAAAAAATAGAGTTATAAAATCTTCGACCAAAGCATAAAACATACATTTTCTAGTCTCAAGGTACCGCACATGGAAGCTACAGCCCATACAGATAATGCAGTTGCCTCTTCCACCAGATGAGCATTATGTGCCTGAGGGGAACAAACAACAATGAAGTACAGTGTTTACCATGAGCATATGACCATTAAACAGAACGCAGCCCAAAAGACTCAAATCTTAAATCTAAAGTATGACTAAAGCAAGCTCATCCAATAAAAAGTTATTATGACAGCATACATCAGCTAATTCCAGACCGGTACTGCAAGATTTCAAATCAACTGTTGAACCAGCGAGACGCAGAACTGTCTCATCTGGTCTATGATATTCCAAGGGATGCAGGTGCTCCAAAGGATGAAATGTAAGTGTTGAGCCCCTTGCAGGGCAACTTAAACGGTAATATTCGGTTATAATCTGTAGTGGTCCATGGTTATTTTCCTGGAAATTGGTAAAATACCATCAGCTATAAAATGTCATCAGGAAAGACTAGGCAAAAACAGCTCTAGGTGCCTGTTAAACTACAAACCTTGGCCCATTCAAGAATATCATTTAAGTCATTTAAATCCTCTTGGCCAGAAAAAGATCCATTTTCTGTCTCATTATCAACATCACTCCTAAAATTTCTGTCATCACAAGGTGAGCCTTGAAAACTGCATAAAGCAGATCATATGTTCAGGATGCATCACTTAGAAGAATGGGACAACAATTTCATTGAGGACAAGATGCCACCCAATAGGAGCAAACTACGTGGAAAAATACTCTTTTTTTGATAAATTTAGAAAAGTTATTGGAAAGAAATAAATAACGAATACAAAGGAGAAAGGAGAACAAGTTATTCTGTGTCAACAAAGCAACCGAATAATAGGGGACAAAATACAAATACAACAAAGCAAAGACATTAATAAAAGAAAGCACTCCAATCCCTTGCATGTATTTCAAGGAGACTCCCAGAAAGAAACTCAGGAACCCCCAAAAAAAGGGGGCTATGAAAGCAAGCATTGGGTTCAAATATTTTAAAAATGTAGATATTTCCCTCACACAAAAGATCAAACACGCTATCTACTAGGGGAAAAAGAGAGTAAGCACACCAGAATTAAAACAACTAAGCTTCAGAGCCATGTACCTGCAGGAAGATTCAGAACTTTCATACTGGCAAAAGCGCAGGAAGGGCAAAATAGCAGTGGGTAAATGCCTATCTTCTGATTGTTTGATGGTTGCAAAAGCATCTCCATACTGTTCACTATTTTCAAAATTTGCAGGGCCAGATTCTTCTTTGGCTGTTGTCCTATCAGTTTCAGGCTCAGTTGGCACAACATTGTCAAAATTGATTCTATCCTTATATGTCTGCAGCTCACCATTTACCATTAGGTGCTCTGGGTGACCATCACCAACAATGTTTTCAGGTGTAGAATTTCGTACTCTTGATTCACAGATTATTTGATTTTCATTAAGTCTGTCTATTGGTCCATCGCTCACTAACACACTATCAGAATTGCCCTCTGAGTTTTCTTCCTCATAGTTACTTTCAACAAATTCTAGATTTAAATCTCCAACACTTTTTGTCAAGAGCTCTAGCCTTTCTTGTGTAAAAATGCTACAGAGATATTAGGACAATAAAATGAGCAAAAATCATAAAACCATAACATACCTGGCATGCTAGAAAGTAAACAACTCTAAGTCTCGTGCATGAATACAATGTGCGACCATATATTATCCATAATTCAAATTATTTCAGCCAAATAGACAGTTACCAAACAGCATGCCATCATGTAAGCCACCAAAAAATAAAAAAGTCAAAGGAGAAAAAAGTGTCTGAAATAATCTTGTGAATTTGAAATCTGATGCTAAAGGGCAGGAAAAATAAAAACAACAGATAAAGCTCCTCAGTTTATAAGTTGACTCCTCATTGCACAAGACCAAGATTTTGTCAAAACAAAACTACATCCTGGGAAGCTTATACCTTTTTAATTACTTTAAACCAATATATTATTTGTTTCACCTAATCTTTGGATATCAATGAACCAGTTTTCCTTTTTTCTTGCAGAAACTTATGTTGGGATGTGGAAGTGTACATGTGCGTGTGAACATTCTGCCAAAGTAGGTAAGTACTTAAGTTGAATCTTTTTTAAACATTGCTTGTTACACACGCTTTTCAAAATGTATCAATTTGATAAAATGCAAATATTCCTTCTATCTGTCTCCATTTGAAACAGAATATCTTCATATGAGTGCTTAGTTGGTATATTGACAATTCAATTTCACAAATATACAAAATACTATCATACATGTACTACAGATTAATCCCATTGAACAATCTCTGGATCAGAAATAATTCCTTGACACTTTTTTACTATTTTGGTGCATGCAAGGCGTAGAAAATAGAACCGTTAACAAGATCATCCTTTCAAAATTTAATGTCACAAATTGCATATATCTTCTACGTTCCATTTCCCATCAGACGACTCTATTACAAACACCTACCTATTTAATACGCCGAAGTGCAATTCGAAAAATGGAAGCCTTGAAAGAATGCAGTAACATCTGTGTGTGGTTAATATATGACGTCTCAAAGAAGAGTAAGATGGCTGCTTATCAGAAATCAGAGGGAGCAATCCAGAGGGCTTTTGCACTAATTCTTCAACTAGGACACAACACCCATAAAGTGTTGAGTTGTCACCACCCTACGAAACAAAAATAACCACAAAGTAACAAACATTGCGAGTATAAGAACCATAAAAAAATAGAATAATAATAATAATAACAAGACACTGTTTAGTGGTGTAGATATGAAAGAAAATAAAGTAAATGGTTCAAGCATATAAAGTAGACTAGGCTCTAGCCCTAGAGCCATAGCTAAAGTGACAACAAGTGCCATTGGGGACTACTTGATCCTAGGAATTGCCCTAGGCTACTTGATGACCTGCACTTTAGTGTACCCTACCCCACCCCTCCCCACACTAGGTCTCAGACCTCCAATCCAAACACATCAATCATATCCTTTCTTTTCTTTCCAAATTCACTCTACCAAACAATCTATTACTGTAAATATTTAGATTCCTCTGTCCTTATATAAAAGAAAACCAACAAATAAATTACAGTAGTAGCAAGAAAATTGTATTCTTACAAGAGATTTTGTAAATATTAGTTCTAGGATGGAATAATAAAAATACAATTAGCACTAGCAAATTGAGGGTGGTTTTTACATCACAGAAGGAGGTAGACATCATAACTACCATAATAAAACGACTATGAAAGAATCCCGACTAACACTGGTCCAGACAAAAACCTCTTCAGCATAAAATAGTGTTCGTAAGAGTATAATATGGTAATAGGGAAAGTTAAGTATGAGAGAAAAAAATGGAAAGATAAGTGAAGAGTACAATCCCACATATAGTTTTAGAATACAGTTTCAAAAAGTTGCATGTATTCGAATCACCATTCCTAGAATGTTTTGATATTAAGAAAATAGCAAAGGCCCACACAGTAATAGAGTCATCAAAAACAACCAAAGGTAGAAAATGTAAGAAAGTGGCATCAAAGTGACAATAAGATTGCTTTAGATACCTGTATCCTGAATACAAATGACAGATCCCTTCGTTTAAGGTGTTCCTGCAATATTGGAAAACGTCCTTTAGTTATCAGTATTTAACCACTTAATTTCCCTCCAACTGTATCAAATAAAAAGCTTGTCAACACTTTGCTGATGATGATTTTACCTAGTTAATATAATATAAAAAGTAAGTGGTAACAACCCCAAATTATTTGTTATCCATTGACACATAAAGTTATAAGGCCTACAGTAGACAACCTTTGCTGAATGAAAGCATAAATGGCTTAGGAACCAGAATCTGAACAATGTGTCTATAAGCTAAGAAAATCCACTAAAATCGTGATAACTATATTGGGGAAACATGGATCTGAAAGACCAATTGATAATGGTAACTATATAGTGCCTTTAATTTCAAATAACTGCAATATGACAACTTCATGAAAACATGAAACATCTTCTAGAAAGAAGCACTCTGCTAGAACTAAATGCCCATTAGGTGTCCAAGTTTCCAACACTATTTATACCAGATCTATAAAAAATAAAGTTGGAGATACAGGGTAACCAGATTGACAAAGATTGATATATCAATTCAGATTATATGTTAATAATTGGTCAATCACTTAAGAAGGGAAGGAAGAAATATATTCATACATCAATCAAATATTAATTAAGAAAATAATTTGCATAAATTAATATTAATGGAAGTATAACACTGCAAAAAATACCTGCCCAAAAAGAATTTCATTCAACTCACTCATGGAAGGGGTTCTGTCAACAGCACGGACCTAAAATTATATCCAAGAAAGATCAAAACCTGATTAAAAGCTCCACATAAGTTACACATGAAAATAAATAAATGCAAAACAAAACAGACAAGTAGGGGTCTGTTTGATTGTGTTTTGGTTTTTTTGTTCTTAAAACTGTTTTGTAAAATAGTTATAGAAATAGTTGTTTTCTATATTTTTTTTAATTTTTGAAAGTTAAAAACGAAAACAGAAAACAAAAGCAACTCAGACATGTTCTCTAAATTTGACTCTAAAAACAAAAAAAAAACAGTTATAGTTTTCAAAACATTTTTTACAAAACAGGCCTTACCAAACGAGTTTTTTGGTTCTGAAAACTAAAAAACTGTTTTTAAAAACAACAATCAAACAGAGCCTAGATGACTGACTCTACAGACTACTTACTGTACAAATACATACATGAACTACAATTAATGACATGAATTTAAATATGAGCAATATTGTCACTATTGATCACTCTGATTTTTCATTTAGTATACTTAATACGTACGCCAGGTAAAGGGACATAATTCAATATATTACATAAGTGATGTTCTCTTACGCGCCACACCCGTTGCCATTGATGCTATAGCTATACCCAACATCATCATCATTATCACACCCTAGTCTTTGTTGAAATAAAAAAGATGGGGGAGAAGATTAAAGTTCATTAAGCATACACCTGACCTCCAAGCCTCCAGGGAAGCAGAAAGAAAGAAGATCCTTGTATTTAAGAGGCAGTTGTTTTTCTGGAGGGTAAGCAAATAAGACCTGAAAAAAATTGAATGTGCAGTGTTCATGATACAGAAATATTTAAAGACAACTAATATTAAAGACAGCAGTCAATAAAAGTTGTAGTAGTCATTGCACTAAAACTATAATAAAAATACAACTTGCACTAGTACAAGTAGCATTGGCAATAAGGATAATAATTACAATAGTTCAGTCTCTTCTACCAAAGATCACAACCTGAGGTTCAATATTGGGTTCTACACGGGATTGATTCTGGTAACCAAGTGCACTTCTCAATTTACCAGAGCCTTCAAACTTTCTATCAACATACTGCCTTTGCAGTGCCTGGATGTCACAATTAGGATGAAGTCCAACAACCACCATGCTCTCGAACAGCCGTGAGGGCTCCTTCCAAGACTTCTGGTCCTGTCAACTCAAATCAGAGGGAGTGTATGAGAACTATCAAGGGACAATTTAGTTCATGAGTTGTCCATGAGGCAAGAAGAAAATGTATAGATCCTAAAAACTGATAATGGCAAACAGAGTAAAGAAACGAGAAAGGGAAAGAGCTAAAAGTTCAAATAAGTAACAGATGCAAGAGCTGAACTTCTAAAGGAAATGCAAGGAAGAGGAAGCATTCAAAACCAAGGGCTAAGGATCCTGCAATAACAAGCAGCTCAAGCTGTCTTCATAGTTCATACTCAAAAGATTATAAGGAACACATAATTCTGGTACATTGAAGTACAACATTGTACCATACCATGCACTGCAACTGAAAGTTTGCAGCCCATTGACGCTTCAGACTGGTCAGGATTTCAGGGTTGTAATTCGTGTTTACAACATCAGGAGGGCGTGAAAAGCCTTTTATCATTTTCGTAACTTGATACTGCAGCCTTTGAAGTTGGCTACCACTACTATCATCTTTTGATGAATATGTTGCGGACGACCTTGGAGAATTAACAGCAGCAGCAACAGCTCTAGCAACTTCCTCTTTTGTCTGCATAAAAAATGAAGCACCCCACCTAAGAGTACCTGACTCTTCCTCCTTTGCCATTCCAGTTATTTATTCCTTCCTAAACATGATATTCGATGACTCAGATAAACAAAAATGTCATGTAAGCAACATCAATTTAAATACAGTATCTGTCAGAACTAAAGCTACATTAAATCTCAAATCCATTCTGAATGATGAAAAGGGAGCATAATTACAGCTATGAATAAGTATACGGACAAGCCACCAAAAACTGAAACTCTCAAGCACCATTTTATAATATGCAAACGGACAAGGCATTTTGCGGTAGAACTTCAATTTAATTGCTATGCATATCAATCTACTTTTAAAAAGACATAATATTTACCTGATTAAAAGTGTAATTAGCAAGCTATTTTCTCACTGGTAATTCTACCAACTGAATATCGAAAGCAAATAAACAAAAGAAACTAGATTCACATCCAGTCATTACATTTCCCACTTTTCTCATATCTCTCATTCTCATACAAAAATGTAAATCTTTAAAAGCTTCCGCACATTAAAAGAAGTAGAAGTATTTATAAATTAAAAAAAAAAATTGGCTCAAAGAACATATACTGTCCGATGACATACTCATAGTTTTCTTCATAGGATGCATCGGCGAGTATCTTCTATTTCCATTTCATGTTCTGCTCTGTCAGTTACACGAACTGAAAACACAGAGAGAAAGGAAACACGTTGCACAAGTTAATGAAACACAACCAATTTTTATTTTTCTTTCAAGAAAAAAAGAGAACATTTAATTAAATTGAAGTTCGCCATACTAAATAGTAATACACCAACCATCGTCCAAGCACCCCACCAAAAAAAGAAACTTTTAATAGTTGCTTATTATTTATATATGTAAAAAAATGGCAACAGTCCAGGAAAAGAAATACAATTCGAATTGAACAGATATATACAGCTGCAATTGGAACCAGTAAAATTCACATACAAGAAGAAAAAAAATTAAGAAAAAGAAAAAAGTAACCTCACCTCGAAATAGCAAAATAGAAGGAAAGACACAAAATCACAGAGACAAATAGACAGAAAGAATTCAGGCGGCCATTAACAAAGCTATTGGCTGAATTAATTGATCAACTTCATCGCGTAGTTTTCGCTTCTGGGTGAAATATATACATATATATTTATTTATATTTATATTAGATTTGGAAAGATCGATGGAACAGAAAAAAAAACACACACATAAATATATAAATATATGGGATTTGCATTTGTCATTTATCACGACACAACAAATTTTCTTACATATACAACAATATTTTGTGGGATCCACACTTTTTGAAGAAAAAAAAAAAATTACGGCACGCAAAACGAATCTCTTTAACATTACACAATCACTTTTTCTACACTCTTATAAAACCATATATATATATATAGAAAAAAACAAAAAATATTTGTCATTTTAAATATACAAAGTTATGTCATATTTTAATGAAAGAGAAATATTTTTCTCATTTAGTTGAAATAACTATCTCATGCTATGCACTCATCGAATTTTGTGCCAGCTTTTTCCATTTCTTTTTCCTTATTTTAAGTTGTGGATCCCACATATTTTTCTCACACACATGAGAGAACTATCTCAAGCAACATGAGATTAGTAACTCCCTTAATGAAATTACATCATTTTTTATAATTTTTTGCATTTTCTCTTCTCCATTTTTTTCTATTTCTATTTCTAATTTTATCAATTAGAGAAATGACAAAATATATTAAAACGACGTAGTTTTATTAAAAATGACATAAAACTATATCTTTTAACATAAAAATATTTCTGTAATTAATGCAGATAAATATGTGCATTTACTTTCAAAACCATATCATTTTGAGATTGAAAGATTAGAAAATTATAATTATAAAGACTATAATAACCCTAAAATAAATTAAAATTACAAAACCATCGTAATTTCTGCCCAAAATGACGTCGTATCGGGCTTACTGCATATAACTTATCTGCATTAACTGCAGAAAAAGCAAACTCATCGTTTAAAATGAAAAACAATAAACTCATATGTTATAATGAGGAAAAAAAGTATCTAATGTTACTTTAGACAATTTATCCAATGTTCACTAAAACAACGTCGTTTTTGAATTAAAAAATTAGAATAATAAATATTATTATAGTCCTTAAATAAATTAAAAATACAAACATACCATAATTTTCATCACAAAACAACATCATTTCGGTGAATATTAAATAAAATAATTTAAAATAATTTTAGAAAATCGAATCTTATAATAAATAATACGAGAAAGGACAAGTATGGGAAGAAAAATAAGAGACGAAATGCAAACACAAAGGGCAAACACAAAGGGGGTTCAGTTTCTTATTTTGCACGCCTTGTTTGTTTTGGCCTTTGCTGCTAGTGCTCTCTCCCTCTCTCTCTCTCCTTCACTCTACACTCCCAATATTCTCTTCTCTTTCGTTCCTATGCTCACAACTCCATCCAATCAATGCCTCCACCCTTTCTTTCTGTTTTTTTTGTTTTACTGTATGTTATTTTTTATATTCATTTAACCTCATATAGTTAACTGGGTTATATTATTAATATTTATTTGATTATTATCAATTATCTGTTTATGGTGATGGTGATGGCTTTATGAGATGGCACTTTGCGAGATGAATAATGATACTATTATATTATTTAACACATCTTTTTAATATATGTTATATTATCGAGTAAATTTAATTTGAATTTTATTAAATAAAAATAAATTGGAATAGTTTAATAAATTTATATAAAAAGTATTTAATAATAAAAAGTATATTATTAATTTTTCTTATTACCTGAAAATGCACGCAATCCATGGAAGGGAGTTGATGGTGAATTGGTGATAATTTAATTTTTTTTTGGAGATGGTTATCATGATAATGCTATTTGCATCAAATTGGAAAAGCCAGATCCCCCATTTGTTTAATCACAATTCTAACCCCTCATTGAAAAAATAAAAGTTCTGGCAAATCAAAGGCATTTCACATTTGTAGTTCAATGGGTGATGTCAAGTGGAAGACTTTGTTCTCGTACCATACCTGTCTGTTGCTTTGCTCAAACGTTGAGGATTAAGCGAATATGTATGGATTGTATTTTTTTAAATAGCTTTTTGATTTTCAGAAAAAAAAAATTGTTTAATTAGCTGTTTTGTAAAGGTAATTTTTAAATTTATAATTTTTTTTTAGTTTTTATAATATTTAGAGAATATATATGAATTGTTTTTGTTTTGTATTTTTATTTTTAACTTTTAAAACACAAAAAATATATATTTTATTATTTATTCTATAAAAAAGTTTTGAGAGAGCTAGAGAGAAAAAACATAGAACACAATCGAATTTCGGGTCTGTTTGATTGTGTTTTTTATTTTTTGTTTTTTAAACTGTTTTGTATAATAGTTAATGAATTAGGTGTTTTGTATTTTATTTTATTTTGATTTTGAAAGTTAAAAGTCAAAATACAAAACAAAAACAACCCAAATATATTCTCTAAATTTAATTCTAAAAACTAAAAATAGTTATAATTTTTAGAATTATTTTTACAAAACAAGAATTATCAATTGTGAAAATCAAAAAACTGTTTTTAAAAATAAAATTCAAACAATTTTCCTCTCTCTATTTAATTTTCATTAAAAATGCCTTGAAATTTATTATTATTATTATCATTATCATTAAAACCATGATACAATATACATAACCATGGATTAACAAGCTCGCAATTTATTTGCTTTTCTTTTTCTTGTATATTTTTTAACAAGTTCACATCGATATAGTAATGACTATTGATAATTGTAGTAGCGCTCAAAAGCAAAGTCCAATTTAGTTTGGTTTAGTGGATAGAAAGATGCAGTAATGAATATGATGAGAGTGACCAAACAATGTAGGACTTTTATTTGTGGTTGTGATGTTCATGGTCATGGGGCCCACGGGGATGATCTTCTTCCCTAGACGATAGCCAACATAATTGCATGCATGACCTGACAGACATATGTTCGGAAAACCCTCACTTTCCCTCGTACTTTTACTGTGTCGCTTGAACTCACTGTTCGTTTGTTAGTTGTTACTTTGTTTGATCTTTTTTTTTATCAACGGGTGCTTCTCTTCAGCATCTTAACTTAAGCATAGCCATTAACTAGTTACAGGGGACACACGTCCAATGTAAGTTCCGAAAAAACTATCAATCTCATTCAAAATTTAAAGTTGCCAAAAGAAAAAAATTGAGATTTGAATTTAAGTCACAATTAACATGAAATTAACAAAATATTTGACCAATTATGTTAACCCTCATAAGATGATATATTTAATTAATCCATTTATCGAGTTACACAGCAAATATTTATAACCTTGCTATTTTAGCCAAAGTGAACCAATTAATTATTTCAAAAGCTAATTTTAGTTTAGCCTCGTCATCATCGTACAAGCAATCTCATCCATACAAATATCACAAAGACTAGTTCGAAATTAGACGCGCATAGTTTAGATTTAAAACTGACTTTAATATATCTTTTACAGTGTGTTTTCGAAAAAGTTCTAAAGTTTTTAATTCTGAAACTTGAGACAAATTGGACTAATCCCGAAGCGATAAATTAATTAGAATATTTAAAAAAAAAAAACCGAGTGACTTTACCTGCATAACAACAAAAACCATCATTTATATAATTATGATTTTAATGATACAATACCCCCTAAATAGAATTTGCATATTTTATATAAATATAGATATTTAAAATGGGATAGGTTATTCTACCTATCTTTTTTTTTATCTATCACTCTCCAACACCATTAGATCAAAATCTGAATTAACATTTATCTTTCTCTTTGCTCTTTAGATTCTAATTTAACGGTGTTGGAGAGTGGTAGACAAAAGAAAGTAGATAGAATAACTTATCTTATATAAAATTAGATGTTAAATTGCCGCATTTTAATTTAGCTATTGTTTAACTTGAGGTGTCTTTTTTTTAATAAAATAATCCCTTTTCCTCGCCAAAAAAATAATAATTACTTTTGAGGGCCGTTTGGCAGAAACTAGAAAGGTTTCTTTAGGATTCCTGAAAAACTGGAGGTGATAATCTTATTTATTCACGTTTGGTATGAGATTTTTTAAAAAAAAAAATTGAGAATCTGATTTTTTAGGGATTTTATTTTGTGTGTACATTTTTTTGAAAATTTCATCTAAGGGTGGTATTCTAAGATTTCTATGACAAGAAAAATTTTAATATAACCAAATATAGTATAAAGAAAATTAATTCAATATTTCTGAAAATATTTTAGCCTACCAAATAACTTTTTGCTAATATTCCCGAAAAACTCATTTTCCGATCATATTTCTGGAAATCATGATTTTCGAATAAAAAAAAAATTCTTCTACCAAATGCTCTCTTTGTGATACGATAATAGCAAGAAAATAATATAGTTATTATTTTTTTTAAAAAAAATTATTATCTTGACATTCTCAAAGGAAAAAAAATAACATTAAAATAAAAACATTTTAAGCTGTGTTTGTTTTATTAATAAAATCTAGTATATTACTCGTGCGTTTCACCTAGAAAAATAAAAATTAACGCGAAATTTACAAGTATATTACTGCATTTTATCTTGTTTTATAGTCATTCAAAAATTACTTAGTTTGACTCAGTTTTGTTCAGTATTTGTCAGAGATGAACTTTCATTTATCACAATTTGATTGTTCATTTTGTTTAAAAATATTTACAGTAATCTAATGATCTTAGTCACACCAAGACGGATTTGTTAGACAGTAAATGTAAAAATAAAAGTAAAAAATGTGTTGGCGGGCGGGCGGGTCAAGCCCATTTTGCCACCTCTAACATCAGCATTTTTTATCTGCATGTAATAAGTTTTTATATTTATTCACACAAAAAATATTCTTATAGTTGCATATAGATTACTATCTATCTATATTTTCTATAATTGCCTTTAAATCGACTACTCACTGGGTTGGAAACAACTAATAATAAATAGTATTAAAATAATGCTATATTGCACAACATTGAATGGTCATTTTTTTTATTAAGTAATTAATAAGAATAAATAATTGTTTTTTTGCAAGGATTTGTGCCCTTAGTATTTGAAATTTTCAAATTAGTATTTA